TATCCTTAATATCTGGATTGGACGACTAATTTATAAAAATAAAAAATAATTAAGTTAGTTAATTATAATAAATAAGTGGCTTATTTCTTAAAATGTTCTTATTAAGCATATGCATTCGAACTACCACTAATAAAAATCCTTTAACATATGTAATCATTGTATAAATTATTTGGGGAGAAATAAATAAACATAAAAAGCAAAATAGATTGAGATCTTATATTTAAAATCAAATTAAATTTCTGACTAACTCTTTTATTAAGGATATGAGATGATATTATTTTTTCAATCAGCATTTAACCCCAAATATGCTGATATAGAAAAGATTAAGACACATAGACAATCTAATTCAAGCAATAGATGTAACAATTCTAAGCAACTTGATTTAAATTTGTTCCGTTATAATATCACTTTGTTGCCCCTCTAACGAGTAAATAATGGAGTTCAGGTGGAATTGAAAATACTATTTTTTGTCATTTTCTAAGAATCAAGAATTTTATATGGCGAGGAAGTTTTACTGTGTTTATGATAATTAATTTGGCTGCATTATAATCAGAATAAAATTCTATTACTACCAGTTTATAGCAAAGAGGCTAACGGGCGGCGTGATTTATGGAAAACAGCCAAGAATGTTTTGACTTTTTCTCCCCGTGCTTTGACTAAGGATAGGGGCGCAAAGTCAACCAACAACCGACATATCCAAGTTTTACATTTGGATTCAAATTGAATACTACCTCAAGTCTTTAATATAAGATCTCGTTTGATTTTTATTTTGATCTTAAGTATAAGATCTCAATCCATTTTGTCTCTAATATTTATACATTTTTTCTAAGATAATCCTTCTAACAATAATAGTTATAGCCAATAGATTTGATTAATAAGAATATTTTAGGAAAGAAAACACCTATTTATGTCAAATAACTAACTTAACTTCTTTCCTTAATCTCCTCAAATTAGTTAACTAGTTTTTATAATTAGTACCGGAGATAGTATTAAACTAATTCTTATACTATCTTCGGTTCTAATTTTAAGAGCTAGTTGATTAATTTGAAAAGATTAAGAAAATAAGTTAAGTTAGTTATTTATAATAAATAGATGTTATCTTTCTTAAAATATCCTTACTAATCAAATGTACTGGTTAGAACTAACATTATTAGAATGACTATCCTTGAAAAAAAGAAAATAAATACGAGAGAGAAAATAGATTAGGATTTTATATTTAGAACCAAAATAAAAATCAAATAAAAATTTATATTAAAATAAAATCTTATATTAAAAGTCAAAGATAGTATTAAAGAATAAGACGGCATCATACATCTATGTTAGGATCCACCTCACTCCTCAGTGTATTATTCTCCAAGTGGCCACTAAAATATTGCAGACTCTTATAAATCAAAATTAACTGAAAGTGTCGTTAGAAAAAAGAACGTCAAAGCCAATCGTTGTGTCCTGAAATGATAAAAAGAAGAAATTTCGCTTACATTTCACTTCCCGAGTGCCTTATTAATTTATTATGATTCCACGTGGCAGCCTCGTCGCAGAAACATCACAGACGTGCTGGTCTCACCCTATGTGTTCCGGGGGGATATTCAGCACGCAGCGTAATGGGACCTCATTCCATGGTTAACATACGACTTGGTGTTATGTCTAGAATCCAATATACTTTATATTTTATATTTATTGTTGTTAAAATTAATTTGTTTATATAAACTGATATGCTATCTTCAGTCCTTAATATAAAAACTATATAATTAATTTAAAAATATTAAAAAAAATAGTTAAATTAGTTATTTGTTATAAATATATGTTAGTTTTCCCAAATATCTTTTTTAATAATATATAGTGGGTGATTAGAATTATTTTTCGGTGATAAATTTCTTACAATCAACAGAAATATTTTTGAAAAAAATGAGAAACACAGTGAATTGAGGTTTTATATTTAAAATCAAATTCAATTCTCCAATTATCTTTTATATTAAAAATCAGAGAAGTATAATTTAATGTCTCGTATGGCTATTTTAAATAAGTCATAGCATATTTATTAAAATTAATTAATTTATCTAATTTTTTTAATCTATTTAAAATTAGTTGAAAAGCTCTGATTAAAAATCGAAAGGAGTATAACAATTAATTTTAGTGAGACAACGAGTGTATATCTTGTCTTCATAAGAGCAAAGAATAACTTTCTTTTAACTGGAAGTTGCTTCCCACGCCGAAGATGAAAATAAAAGTTCAATTGGCTTATTCAAGGCGTAAAAGCTCCTATTATGAAACATATTCATCAACCTAAAGTTGAAAACAACATAATATTAAATTAAATACTCCTCCGGTCCTTAATATAAGACCCATTTAACAAATTTGATTAGATTAAGGAAGTTAGGTAAGTTGGTTAATTATAAGAAAAGTGACACATTTTTCCTAAAACACCATAATCATCTTTCTTAATACCCCCTCTCCCTCTTCTACTTAATTATGGTTGAGAGAGTATCTATAGGGGTAATTTAGAGAAAATTGATAAATATGAGAAATGGGTCTTATATTTAGGACCAAAACCAACTCAAGAATTGGGTCCTATATTAAGGACCGGAGGAGTAGCATTTTTGTTCCTTGAAATTTTGTCCTAATAAGTTAGTGTGTCATGTGTGTATATATATCATACTACCTTTTGTTCTAATTATAAAATTTTGTTTGTAAATTATAAATAGAGTTTTAAAATTAGGACTGGATGTAGCATGTTTTTTGACTCAATAATACCCTTAAAATTATAAAAACATTGCAATATTACTTCCATGGTAAAGAAGAGCAATTGTCCACCAGCAAGAGACGCTACTCTCCATATAAATGAAAAATTGTCAACATGTTTTGGTCAATTAATCTTAAAGTTAGAGATAATTAATACTTTTCCAATCCTTAATGATTTTATATTAAGAATACGAGGATATTTCTTTTAACTAGAATGCTCATAAGTTGCAAGGATATGTCGAAATTACTTTTCTTTACTTCATTAATGTGATCTATTAAATAATGATAATTTTTTTAAAAAAAAATTCAAAATGTTAACCACCCAATATTTTTTAATGGGTGGACATTGGATAAAACTCATCTAAATTAAAACAGAGGTAATATAATATAATAATTTAATTTAATTTAAAATTAAGGTGTAAGTCTACGCATGACAAGGAAATGTGTACTTGGCACTATAAACCTCTGTTAAGTGTAAAAAATACATATGAAGATTTCAAAATGATATAAAAATACTAATATTATTAATTTTCATATGAGGCCCATACTATTGTCCAGCTGCAAAAAGCAGCAAAAGTTAGGTCACATTAATAGACAGATATTTTTGCACTATTTTGAAATCTTCTTGTACATTTTTGCAATCAAAGAAACTTGGTGGGGGTGTCATGTGCGTATATACTATGTGGATAGATTTTCATCTTATTCCTGTAATTTATTGTTTCAGGTCTTATTATTTTACAAGTCATCAAAATAACAAAATTAGTTAGTCCTCCATTTGCTTGTCGGGTGAGTTTCATGTAATAAAATGTAAATTGATCTCATATGATAACATATTCACTAAAAATGTAAATAAAAATTCAAGAGAAAAATTATTTAAAAATTCGATCTTTTTAGGTATAAGATGCTATCGCATTATCAATAGTGCTAATGAGCTGGCGATTTCAGGTGGCAATCCATTTATGTGTGAATATTCCTAATATTACATACTACTTCCGATCCTTAATACAATACCCTATTTGATTTTTATTTTGATCCTAAATATAAGACCCCAATCCACTTTGTTTCTCATATTTATACATTTTTTTCCAAAGTAGCCCTTCTAACAATAATAGTTCTAGTCAATACACTTGATTAGCAAGGATATTTTAAGAAAGACAATAGCTATTTAGGATAAATAACCAACTCAACTTACTTTCTTAATCTCTTCAAATTAGTCAACTGACTCTTATAATTAGGACTGGAGGTAGTACTAGATTTCTCCGAATCCTTTAAATTGCTCAGTGAAATAATACTTTTTTGGTTTTTAATATAAAACTCATTTTATAGTATAAAGTAGGTCTTATATTAAGAAATGGAGGGAGCATAATAAAATTTTTTCTTAAATTACTCTTATTGAAATTTGATGTAATTTGTTTGTTGCTTTTCTTTTATAGGAGTACTTAATTTTTATTTTCAACGCTTGATTTCAAAAATACATGCAAATTGATTTTTCTTATTTTAAGATTAAATTAATGACTTGACCCTTCTTTGATTAAGAAAATGACTTTAATTTCTGGTCCTAGATTGGAAAAGAGCATAGTGAATAAAACTATATAAGTGATTTTCTCTGCGGTATTTGTTTTTAATTAGAAAAACAGAAACAACATGAGATTATAAATTAAATGAAATTCACAATCTCCCACTTACTCATCTGCAATATTTTGTTTTGGACAGTTCTTCTTGATTTATGGGCAATATTTAAATTATTAATTAACAATAACCATATTGTCAGTAAGAACATGCACCGCAAACCTTTCAATAATCAATTGCCACGCCGCGCCACCAGATCTCGGGAAAATTATTGGTCATTTCAGCAAGCCATAATTCCTAAAATAACCTCCCTTCATTTGGCTATATGTCGAAAATATCCCTCACCGTACAAATATTTCTCCCCTACCCCATCCCGTGAGCTTCCGGGCAGTAAGTTCCGCGTCGAGAGGACAGCACTTGCTAACAAGCAACTCTTACACTCGCTCAACTCTTTCTCCTCTCAAAACACGAATTGGATCTGCGACTGTGATAGCCGATTCACCCCAACAAAGTCACACAGGTAATTTCAGAAGCGACTCCACTGTGCGGGTTCGTGTTGTTATTTTTTTTCTTTCTGGTTTTGCTCGTCTACAGTTCGTGCCTCGTTTCATTTCTACATCAATGATTTCTTTTTATTCGCAATTTTGTTTGAAATTTAGCTTTTTTTATCACCAGAATATTGCGGCTGAGTGCATTGAAGCCCAACGTTTCTAGTCATTTCTGAGGAGAATTGGAACTGATGCTTCAAATTTCCTTGGGTATCTTGTGTCGGTACTGTAATCATTCAAAATTACCTTTCCAGCGGCTCCTCTGGGATCTGTAAGTTTACTTTCAAAGCGAATTTCTATATTTTAAAGTTACTGAGATATGTCCCAGTTACAACTTACATCAGAACACATACGAAAGTTATCATTACTTCAGTATCAGAAGCAATGAATGTTGCATTATGAATGCTATGAATATTTTGAATTAGTCTGTCAGATATTTGGAACATTCGAAGGTATTGTTTTGACAACAAAACTTCTGAAGTTTGAACTGTTAAACTATGGTGATTATTTATATATCTACCTCTAATTGTGCTGACACTCAATTTTTGAATTTACATTGGCGAGTGGATGCCAGTGAACCTTGGCAAGAATCAAAGTGTGTAAGTGTAGCACAATAATTCAAATCAAATCATTTTTGCTTGCGGTGTGGTGTATTCTATTCAACTCAATAGATTAGACAGCATGATGGTGGGGCGTGCTTAAGGGGAGGACGAAACTGAGGTCAAGCTTGATAGGAAAGGGCTATGTAGTATTTTATATTAATATCCTTATCCCTTCCGTGGTGGGCAAGGCCCCAGGATATACATTTTTTTTTTGGGGGGGGGGGTGGTTGCTGAGCTTCCATTTGCTAAGTTTATGATCATACTTCACACCACTTCTTCCATGGTCTGGATTTATTAAATCTTTAGTCTGGCAACTGTTTGGAGTCTTGTGGTTTATAGCTTTATATGAGGAAAAAAGAGAAAGTTAATTTCTAAAATTTATTTATTTATTTTTTAAATATTGGTACTTAAAAATGGCTGCATGCTTTTACTGATGTGGACACAATAACGTAAAAAATAAAGACAAATGTGCTTTTGTTATGAGTGCAGCTTCATCAGTTCCAGCATATTTGCTAATTTTTATATGCTTCCATATGTTTTTCTGATCCTGCTCTTCCTATCTTCTCTTAATACGGATAAGCCTTCGTAGGAAGAATAGTTTATATTATTTTCTGGATATTTTCTGAAGGTACTGACCGAGCCAAATATCTGCATCTTCTGTAGCATATAAGCAGAGATGAAAGCAGGACCCACGTATGGCTTGAGAGGGTGGCATCTTTTTGTAGTCCTTCTTTCTCTTGTTCTAATGACCACATTACTGTGGACATGGGAGAAAAATCCACTAGCTATAACTTTACATTCAGCTCAAGAGTGGTATCACAAACCTTTATCAGGTATGTCTCCCTAGAAAGTATATAATAAGTAAATAACGACAGATGTGGTGCCTTTGGGATTGGGTGATGCGGGAATGCCATATGATTTAAACCATTCATGTTTCAATTCAACCACTGACAGCAAAAACTTTAGGCGGAAGCAGATTCAGTACTGTAGATGTGCTTAAGAGGAATAAGATATTTAATCCACAAAATCTGCAAGAAGACATATTGCTGTTAACTTATATACGCGGTTCTTGAAAAATCAGACGGATTCCCACTGATATTGTTAATATATTATATCATATCTGCGGTTCTTGCATCTCTTGTGGAATTTGATTGTCATTATTCCAATGGCTGTTAACTAAATTTTACTGTCACCCGCAATAGGTTCTGTATCATTTCATGTTCATATTGCTGTTTTTATCCTACTCCAAACCTGCTCCTGTTGGTTTCAAATTGTGCTGATTCCCCCCTCCTTTTAGGAGTGATAGTAGAAGCCCCAAATAATTCAGTGGGAGGTCCAAAGCTGGCAAAAAGCGAGGAGATATCTTTAAATACTAGCAATGAAAATGAAACCAAAGTGCAACTTGATTATGCGGATGCAGTTCCTGTGCACTCTGTCCCTTCATATTCTCCCGAAATACAACACGGTCAGGGTGTCAGGTCTTCTTCAGGAAGAAAAGGTATATTCTTTGTATTGTTATTCAAAATTAGAAATTGTAGTGAAACATTTTTTCTCCTGCATCTATTTGTCTCTGTTGTTGTTATTATTGTTATTTGAAATTACATATGTTGGCTTCTTCTTCTTCTTCTTGCACAGTTGCATGATTGTTACTGACTTTGAATTTCATAACTCATTATTTTGCTGGAATATTTGATCGTTTGCCTTTCCATTCCCTCGCTCATGTCATGTAATGTGTATCATTCCTTCCGCCGTGTGTACTTTCTTTCCATCTTTGTCAATGGCCCGCATGAATTGAATATGGAGAGCCTTTCTTATGCAACCTCAAGTCTGATATTTGCATTCTGAATTGTATTGATTTTGCAGGACATATTTTTAAATGATAGAAAATAAAAGGAAAGCTCTTGATAAGAGAAGCTTCTTGTCAATGCTTTTTAGCAACGTGTTCATTATTATAGTTTGGTATTTCTGTATCCGTTCTCCTTTTTACGACAGTAACAGGCAATCCTGTGAAAACTAGAAATATAAATGGCCAACGGTCAAGAGACACCTGTTTGAACATTAAGAAACTAGAATACTATTCTGCTGATTATGTTTGAAGTTCCTCTCTGTGGTTGCATATCCTCCACTTCTTATCTTCAATTGAACTAACTAGCCAGATTTATTTTACTGGTTTCATCTAAATGGAGATTCTCTGTGTTCATTAATATAAGAGCTAATGTATTCTTGTATTTGCAGTCTGTAATTATGCAAAGGGTAGATGGGTTGAAGACAAGAGAAGACCATTATATTCTGGATTTGGCTGCAAAAAATGGTTATCCCCAATGTGGTCATGTAGAATGACACCGCGACCAGATTTCTCTTATGAGGGATACCGTTGGCAGCCAGAAAATTGTGACATGCCAGAGTTTGACCGGTCTGCATTTTTGAGAAAGTAGGTATAACCCTTTAATCTTTTGGCTCATCTAGTTATGAATGTATATTACAACACTATTATTTGGTTGTCTTATAATTTAATTATTCATTGGTTTGTTTGTTGTGGTTTAGAGAAGTTTTTCTCCAAACTCAGAGCACAGAACTCGCATTATAATATATATATATATATATATATGTATATCTTTTCTGACGTACTGACCTTCAGTATAAGTTGCCTATTGATTTATATATATATATATGTCCTCTATATGCTTCAGCTCTGTCAATTGACTTTTTCCCCCCTTTTGGACTGAATTGACAGTTTTGGTCATTGAAGGATTCACTGTGTCGATTTGATCTACCGAAGTTTGAATTTCTCATTCTAATCCTTCAAAAAGTATCTCGTTTTCAATTTCATCCACACATTAAGCGTCTCAAGATAGATGGGTGATATGGTATATTGTCAATCTAATAAAGCCATAAAGTGCCTAATTATTGTGGAAAATTTCACGACGGAATACCAAAATAATGTTGGCGTCATGGCTACCTCAAATATGATGCTTTGTTTTGGATGTTTTAGTCATAGTTGTTCTGTCAACTTAATGACCTCATCAACTTCATGTTAAGCTACATCACACATGATAGAAATTTTTGACGAGCTTAACCTGAGGAACTTTGAAGGTGATATGTACTTTGAAGCACTGAAATGAGGTAGTTAAACTTTGAAATCAGAATGAGGGGTCAGAGTTCCTAAGCCTCTCCAGTTATTTTGATTCTTTGGTGCGAAAGTTTGACTTTCTTTTTGAACATTAAATTTTGGAGAATTTGGACTGTGGTTGTGAGTGGTCTGCTGGTCTTTAATTTGAGGCGGAATCTAGAATGCAGGACAAAACAATAGCATTTGTAGGAGATTCATTGGGCCGGCAACAATTTCAATCTCTGATGTGTATGGCCACCGGTGGTAAAGAGAGTCCTGAAGTTGAAGACGTGGGACGGAAATTCGGTCTTGTAAAACGCCGCGGTGCTATTCGTCCTGATGGCTGGGCTTACAGATTCCCAAAGACCAACACTACAATCTTGTACTATTGGTCAGCTAGCTTATGTTATCTAGAGCGCCTTAACAACAAGGATCCACTCACCAATGTTGCCATGCACTTGGACCGCCCAACTGCATTTCTGAAAAAGTTCATCAGTCGTTTCAATGTCTTAATTCTTAACACAGGGCACCACTGGAACCGAGGGAAACTTAATGCAAACCGGTGGATTATGTATGTAGATGGGAAGCCTAATGAAGACAGAAGGCTTGCAGAGATCGGTAGGGCCAAGAACTTTACAATCTATAGTGTAGCTAGGTGGGTGGATTCACAACTTGTCTCCCATCCCGAACTTAAAGCATTCTTTAGGACTTTATCACCGAGGCATTTCGTCAATGGGGATTGGAACTCTGGAGGTAGCTGTGATAATACCATTCCCTTGTCTGGAGGAAGCGAGGTTGTACAAGATGGACCAAGTGATCTAACTGTTCATGGTGCGTTAAGGGGTACGAAGATCAAAATGCTGGATATAACTGCTCTTTCTCGATTGAGGGATGAGGCTCACATGTCTCGCTACACCATTCGAGGAACTAAAAATGATAGCGATTGTTTGCATTGGTGCCTACCTGGAGTTCCAGATACTTGGAATGAACTCCTTGTTTCTCAGATATAGCCTTCCAAAGTGGGAACACTTCCTTCTTTCTTATGCAATATGAAGACACATAGGCTGTGTTACAAGCAGAAGCCGTCCATTCTTTGTGGTCTTGGATGACCCATTATTATTTGCTGTCACTGTATTTTATGTACTATCTCCGGTTCTTAATGTAAGATCGAAGTGTAATTTGTACTACAAAGGGGAGTTTATATTAAGAACAAGAGATAGTATTACTTTCTCAGTCGATAAGAATATAGGCAGAGCATGTAATTCCAATCTGTTTCATTTTTAGAGTGGACAAATAGATCAATTCGGAATAGATTCAGCTACAGCAGAGACAGCATAAGACTTCATGAGTTAGCTGCAGCTATGAGCGGAACGTGGCTAGCGTCTCCTTCGCTTTATTAGCAATTTGAAGAATTGAAGTGTTATATTAATGTATTATTCAATAGGAAAGAAAATAAAAATCCTCGACCTTTTTATGCTTGGTGTTTTGCTTTGCTGTATGAGCATTGGACCTGGTTCTGTCGAAGTCTAAATCTTGATAATAAAAGTTTATATAAATTGGCAAATAGTGAATTATTTTCTTCTTTCTTAAAGATATTCTAAAGATATTTGAATTAAATTTTTTTATTATTATTATTTTGATATGGATTTGAATTACATTTTATACTTCTTCTTCTTTTATAAATTTTAATTATATTTATTTTTAATTGAACTATCTTTATATTTATTTGTTATTTGTACAATATATCAAATGGTTATGTTTGTGTGCGTATAAAAGACTAAAATAATTTGATAGTGAATTTCTCTAAATTATACTTTCCCTAAATTATACATTTATCTTCGCCTCTCTTAGAGTGCAGGAAATTATTTATCCATAATTAGAGTTTTAGGATGTTATCTTCTCAAAAGAATAAAAATTTTTTTTAAAAAAAGGCTATGTGCGTTATTGTACTCTGTAGAGTGGTGGAAGGTAAGGTGGTTATGTACACAAACTTGGGAGATTAATGCCACGATTGATCATTAAATTTTAAGGATTAAAGAAGTTATTTGAATTGAACAAGTTAAATGATGATTGAAACTTATAAATGTCTAATAAATATCATTAAAGATAAATACAATGATTGAAAAAAGAAGAAGAAGAAGCTACAGTTTTATTTATAAAACCGACAAATTATGTTAACGAAATTTCAATCCTCCAATAATATTTTTAACAGTGATTATCACCATATCTAACTATTTATGCCTTGTGTATCAGCTACTTGTGATGTTCATATTTTATATTGATGATGTCAACAAACAAGAGTAATGCAGGTTAACATATCATATATGCTATTTGTTCTTATTTTTAAGATTTTGGGTCCAAACTCTTATTGCTGAAAAAAAAATTTATTGTTAAATATTATCTCCGGTTCTTAATATAAGACTTTATTTGACTTTTATGTTAGTTCTAAATATAAGACCCCAATCTACTTGTTTATACATTTTTTCTTAAAGTAGTCATTCTAATAATGATAATTTTAGTCAACACATTTGATTAGTGAGAATACTTTAAAAAAAATAACACATATTTATTACAAATAATTAACTTAATTTATTTTTTTAATCTCCTTAAATTAGTTAACTATCTCTTATAATCAAGAGTGGAAGTAGTACAATATACCTGAATGTATATATCCACATAGTTGGTATAATTGTTGTACTACCTCCCTCCTTGTTAATAAATTTTTGATATAAAAACATTTTAGTCATTTAATTATATTTGCAAAATATTAGATCAGGTACTCTTGAGATTTTAGGTGTTTGATTTGGAATATAATATTTTCGTGCCTTTTCATTTGCCATTTTTTCTTACAAAAATTAAAATAATAAATAAAATCTAAAAATAAGATAGCCAGGGAATAATTTTAGAGTATGCGGATTAAATACGTAGAAAAATTTGTTTTAATTTATGAAAAAAATGTTCCTGACAAACACTTTCTAGACACCCGCGTCTTGCTCCGCCCTCTGGGCCGTGTTTCTGAGAAACACTTCCTACTTCCTAGACACCCGCGTCTTGCTCCTCCCTCTGGGCAGCGCTTCTGCAGCGTCCGTTTCTGTGCTCGCGTTCGCCGCTATCTTCTGTGCTCCCTCTTCTCCAGGTTTTTCCGTGTTCTGTTTTGTCCTTCATTTGTTTGGTTTCTTCTTCTTCTTATTTATACAGACTCTTGCTTCGAATGAAATCTGCGTATTGTGTTTTGTTTTAACGACTTTCTGCTTCAAATCTGCTTCCTTTGCGTGTGTTTTCTTTTCTCAAAGATTTCTAGTCAATAGCCGCTGCTTTTGTGTGCGCCTGTGTTCCCTTAGATTGTTTGTTCTAAAGATTATATGTGTATTTTCTGGAATTTAAATTTTATTAAAAATTATCAAAAGGAAAAAGGCAAATTTATTTAAAGTAGTGTTTATATTTTAGCGCATAAATTACGCACAGCTGATATATTGCTGATATTCTGCGATTTCTAAGCAACAAGCAACAGGGTCTTTTTGCCACCTTGACTGTCCCTTTCATCTTCTGGTTTTGGTTCTGAAATCTTCAATTTCTCTAGCCGTTTACACTATTCTTCGTAATTCCATTCTAGTAGCAGTTTCGTAATAACCACACAAATTCCTGATGACAGTTATGAGAATCGAAGCTTGCGCAGACCTATCGCGTTGCTTTGCTGGTGTTTCCATCCGACCAAGGCCTAATAAGTACAATGAGGGTTGTCAATGCACAAGTAGCCGCAATGGCGGCAAATTTCATTTCGTACATGGAGCAGTTGGAGAATTGAGAATTGGATCAATTGGTTCGTGCAGCCACGTAAAATCTAAGTCGAGGGATAGTGTCGTAGCAGGTGCTTTGAACAATAACCAAGGTCTTAAATACAAGGATGCTGGTGTTGATACTGATGCTGGTTCAGAACTTGTACGAAGGATAGCAAAAATGGCACCTCGAATCGGAGGCTTTGGTGGGTCTTTTCGCTCACGGTATTTTCTCTTTCAACCATGTATTAATCCTTCTAATAGGCTTCGATAAAGTAAGACTAACCAACTTCTTTTGGATAGGTGATGATTCATATCTTGTTGCCGGCACCGATGGTGTGGGTACTAAAGTGAGCATGGCTTTTGAAACTGGAATTCACGAGACGATTGGGATTGATTTGGTTGGCAACTGGATTCTTTTGTTTTACTTTCACAGTAAAAAAGAATCACGTGTTGGTTAATACTTGTGTTTTGATTATGCTCTTTACTTTAGGTTGCAATGAGCGTCAATGACATCGTTACTTCTGGGGCAAAGCCACAATTTTTCCTTGATTACTTTGCCGCAGGGCACCTTGATGTTGACGTTGCTGAAAAGGTAGTAATAAATGTGCATAAAGTTGCATAAAATTAGCCATAAATTTTCTTAGTGTTCAAAGAACGACAACTAAATATTGATTTATCAACAGAATACTAGAATAGTTTATCATATTCACACCTAATTTTGTAAAATGCAGGTTATAAAAGGAATCGTTGATGGTTGCCAGCAATCTGATTGCCCCCTCTTGGGAGGAGAGGTATTGAAAGTCTTATAATTTACTTTATTTGTAGCAGGTATTTAATTTATTGTTCATTAATCCATTGGCCCTCACCAGATGACTAAAGCATTTACTGTTAAATTATTTTTTCCTTGGCTAAGTATAATTCTCCACTATGTGTCTGAAAGATGAGCAGTCACAAGTTCTGGGATTAGATGTAGTCTTGAGCTTTTGTAGCCCAGACTTATTATTTAGATCGACATTTTAAACAATCAACTATAAATTATTGCTTATTTTTTTCAGTTTAATGTAGCAAGGTAGATAACTGACACATAATTCTTCGGACAGTGATCTATGTTTAACAGTCAAGTAGTTTATTCAGCTGCAATTTTATCAGAGAAAGATTAACCCTATGAATATATTATTAATTTATTATTTGAAAATTTTGGATGTTATAAATGGACTTCTTCCATATGCTTACTCGTTGACACTCATGTATCTGACATTATAAATGCCAAGCTTTTTTCTTTTGACAAAAGAATCATTTCATTAATAACCAGAAACAAGTCTGTCTACCAAACAACCAAAAACAGAAACGAAAAGAAACAGGCAGAAGCTACAACAATCCAAAAAAACAGACTAAAGGCAACGTTTAAACAAACAGCAAAAGGAAACCAAAAAAACAAAAGACAGAAAAGGTTGATTTCACATCTTTTCAGACTGCAGAGATGCCTGGTCTCTACAGAAAAGGTGAGTATGATCTTAGTGGCTGGGCAGTTGGTATCGTAAAGAAGGACTCTGTGATCAATGGGAAGAACATAGTTGCTGGTGATGTTCTTATTGGTCTCCCATCAAGTGGAGTTCATTCTAATGGCTTTTCTCTTGTTCAGAGGTGAGGTATGGGTGAAGAATCCATTAGACTTTGCAAATTTGTTCATTTAGTTTTATTCTTGACTAATATTAATAACATATATCTTTACAGAGTGCTTGCTCAAAGTGGGCTTTCCTTGCAAGACCAATTTCCTGGTGGGGATGTTTCGACTGCAGAAGCTCTAATGGCCCCAACTGTTATTTATGTTAAAAAGGTCATTATCTTTTGTGACTTGTGATAATGCTTTATTTAAGTTCCTGAATGCATTTTTACTGACAAAGGAGTATTCTTTCTTAATTTCAGTTCTTGACTTAGTTAGCAAGGGAGGGGTTAAGGGAATTGCTCACATCACTGTGGTGGTTTCACAGATAATATACCCAGAGTGTTTCCTGAAGGCCTAGGCGCCTATATATACAAGGACTCATGGGAAGCTCCTCCTGTGTTCAAATGGCTTCAGGAGGTAAAACTGCTGCCATTTTATATTTCCATTGAAAAGTGATTTTGTTGAAAATTATATGGAGATGATTTAATACTGATGATTTCTTACATTATTGGGCTCGAAATATAGAAGATAGCAAGATGAGGCGAACATTTAATATGGGCATAGGGATGGTACTTGTAGTGAGTCCTGAGGCATCAATTA